GCTCAGTCGTAGCAATGAGACGAAGAACGTGACGTTTCGTGTTTAATCAAAATTAAACCATAATGCATGTGGCTCTTCCTGAAAAATGAGTTTGACAGCCTTGATCTTACACCTGATTAGCAGCACCTGGAGGGACCAGAAGCTCAAAATAAGTGTTAACAGCAACAGCAAAATAGGCTGTTCGACAGAGAAGATTTGGTCCATTTTTCATGTGTGCAACCAACATACTCAGCTCTACTGCTCATCCCACAAATGCATGTTTCTTACAAATGTGGCATTTAAAGGGGAAATTAACAGGCTTTCCAACAGCAGAAATGTTATTGTCAAAAAGCATTGTTACAACAAGGAAATAATCTACCAAACACACATTTCCTTACTTTCTGTGCTGTTTATTTGCAGCTTCTTGTAAATACAGTAGAATTTGCAGCCACTGTGTAGTTATGTTTCTATTCATGAGTTTTGTTTGTTTCTTTTTTTGTCTTTGCAGCAGATATATGCAGCGCTCCGTCTCTTCCTGAACTCCACCTCAGCTGAAACAAAATAAGGATGTTGTCTCAGCTTTGTTTTGCCTCAGCTGGCAGGAAAGATCTCCGTGGATCCTCCTGTGGTGGTCTCAGGTCTGTAGCCTCTCTGACTACAGTAACACGATGGACACGGGGGGATCATGTTCCAGACCTGAAAAAGCAATAAAACAGCAGCGACGACCTGCTGTTTGATAAGATATTTCTATCTGGTTTGCTTCTTTCTCACGTGTAGAACTGTGTGCAGCTCTGATCCCTGCGGAGGGTTTGAATTTACCTGCAGCAGCTCTACGTGTGATCACTTCAGGAAACAAGATCAGCTTTGTTGAAAAGATTAAATGACGGCCATAAACCGGCCTGTTGGATTTTTAAAAAATGAGCTGCAAAAGATGTTGGGATGAGAAAACAAAAACCAATCCAGAATCCAGACAATGAAAAAAATACCAGGTCCAGTTCATTTGGATAAACACTGGAGGATTTCTTTTTAACTTGCAGACAATTTGTATTATTGAATGTAACTTTTATCCACAACTACCCTATGGATTTGATTCAATTCAAGATGGCTGCCAAAGCCAAGTAAAACAAAACAAACAAAAAAAGGTGATAAATCTGTTAGTTTTGGATTTTTACCTACACTTTGCTTAGAAGCTGAAACATTTTTGAGAGCGAACAGTTTCTACAAGATCTTTTTTTTCCAAATTTTGTCGCTATTTGTAGTTTACGCTCTGTCTGTCTGTCTGTCTGTCTGTCTGTCTGTCTGTCTGTCTGTCTGTCTGTCTGTCTGTCTGTCTGTCTNCTGTCTGTCTGTCTGTCTGTCTGTCTGTCTGTCTGTCTGTCTGTCTGTCTGTCTGTCTGTCTGTCTGTCTGTCTGTCTGTCTGTCTGTTAGCAAAATATCTCATGAACCACTACAGAATTGAATGACACTTTCATGAAATAATCACTAAATTCACATCTACAGCTGATTAACTTTCAGAGCCAACCTGATTTGAGATGCCCTAGCCAATTTAGCGTGCTGGGCAGTTTTCTAAATCTCACTGCCAATTTATCAAATTAAATAGTTTTGTCTTTGATATTTTTTTTATTTTTAGAAACCAGGTTGTCCAGTTAAAATATTTAACCGTATGATTTGAAACAGAATGCCGACCGCATACCTGCCAACATCTGCTGACAGCAATGAGAGACACCTGTTCATGTTAACGAGCAGCTGTGTGTGTGTGTGGGGTGGGGGGGGGGGTGCAGAGGTATACCCCTTTGGAAGATTTTGTAAAAGATCTTCTTAAAACTCTGCATTTTACTAAATTCTTGGGATTAATGAAATAATACAAAATCAGCATTTTATGAAGACTTTATCTGAAATCATAAATGAAACTTCCGTTATCCTTATTTTGTTTTCTGTTTACACACTGAGCACCAGTCGTTAGTCTTGACTGCATCATGATACTTTTATCACAAAACTTCCTCTGCACCAAATAACCTCATGAAGTAACAAAGCAGGCTGAGAAACCCACATTCCAATTTGCCTTCATAAATCCGAGTAACCAGGGATTATTCTAGAGGTTCAATCAACTATACTCTGATAAAACGTTGTTTTGGGTTGTTGTTGTTTGTTTGGTTTTTTTTTTGTTTGTTTTTTTGTACGTTTGTGGTGCCCTCCAGTTGGATGATGCCCTCAGCCTATACTGCCTATGCTCCCACAGCTAACTGAGCTTAAAAAACATACAAACTGTTAGAATTCAGTCCATTTTAAAGTTACTGAGCTAAAATTTGACACAGTAGTAGCCGAGAGTCGTCTATAACATATACTCTGAGCATGACCTTCTGGGATCTTGCATGAAGTTGTGCAAAATCTTATTTTAAAGATTTAAATTCATGTCATGAACTTAGATCTTAGACTTAAACATTTGCACCAACATGTGATTATTTACCTCTTAAAGTGATATTTAATAGACACGAACTAGTTGTAACATAAACAGTCCTGTGGTCTGATTTATTTGGCAGATCAAGAACAAACAGAACAGTGTTAAAATGTGAAACTACTTTATTCAGTAGACTGGTAATTTATTAGAGGTTTTAGACATGTGGGGAAACGTTCTGTTGAAGGACAGCTCAGATCAGAGAAAGCAATCATCTTGCAGAGGACAGGAATTTGGGTAAATGATGTTTCACAGTGAGGGGGCGAGGCAGAGGAGCAGTGGGGTGTGTGGGGGGGTGTCCTCTTCTTACACGCCGCCCTCAGCGTGACTCTTCCCTGCACACACAAACCTCTGAGGCCTCCCCTCAGCTTCTCTGAGGGTCCGGCTGGTGTGTGTCTCGGAGCTCTCCTACATCTGGTGGGATGTTTGGAGTTGGGAGTGGTGGTCGTCTCAGAGAGAGAGAGAGAGAGAAAGGAGGGCCCCACGGTTTTATTCCTTCTGACAATTTCTCACGTCCAGATCTCCTGTTCTTTTCTACATCTGCAGCCTTTTCACAGTCTGGATGCTGGACTCACTTAAAACTTCAAGCCTCATGATTTTTCTTGCACTTTTTAACATTTAGGTTGAACGTGTTACTTATTGACTGTAAAAAAAATCATCAAGAAGCAAAATCAGCCAGCTGTATGTTCATTACTGACACACAGAGCCCCCTAGTGGTATGAATTTAAAAAGGAAAAAAAGGTATTTTGTTGTCATTGAGTTTTGACCTAATTTAAAGCAAATTTTAATCTATTAATGATGATTTGAACATGATAAACTTTAAGCGTCTATGTTTGTGCGAGTAATAAGGCTCATATACTAAGCTAAAAAAGGAAAAAATTGTAAAATTTTGGAAAATTGTGGAACAAATTGTAATCTTATATCATCTTATTTTATTTAATAAAAGCACATAATCACTTTAAAAATGAAACCAAAATTAAGAACTTCAACATGTTCATCATCAGTCAAATGATTCACGCTTTATAGTTTATTTTGTATTTTTTAAGAGGAACCTTCTTATTTAAATTGATATAAATAGCCTGAAAATATCAGTGACATTTTATATCATTTCCACCACTTACTGATGAATAATGATTGTTTGAGTGGGAAAACAGGAACTCTTTTTTAAAAAAAGAACTTGCAGTGTGTAATAGATGTGACTAAATGAAGACAAAGTTCTGTATTAAAAGGAAAAAAATATTGATAGCTTGAAGTTCTTACTGAGCTGACAGCACCTTATAATGTGCAATGATGTGCAGAGGTCAGATGTGAATATTATGGTAAGTCAAAATATTTTTTTTTATTAAAAATAAAGTGATTTGCAAAATTTTCACACTTAATATTTACTGTTATTATTATTATATTCAGTTATTTTAATATTTCGTAGAACTACAGTCAAAACAAACATACCTTCCCAAAAGTATCTTTGTTAAGTTTTTCCAGGAACCTCAACACTTCTTTATTTTTGTTTCCTGTAAATATATTTTAAAAGTGATGACATCATTCAACTTCTAGATTTAAATCCTTCATTACTTACAATTTCAGCTGAATATGAAGCCAAATAATCTCCTTCCTGTTGCTTTGTCAACTTAAAACATGATGCTTTTCAGAAGTTTGATGTGTCAGGGTTCCTACAGCTCAAGACAAATTAAATTTAAGACTTTTTAAGACCTCTTTAATGCCACTTGAAATGAAATTGAAGACCACCGTTACAATAAACACAAATAGAAATAGAACCCAGTTAGTGACATTTTTACCCAAATGTTTAACACAAAAGACATTCTGTAAATTTTTTCCAAAAATAAAAGTTACAAATTATTTTAATATTTCAGACTGGGGATGCATTGTATATCTGCATTAACTTCAGTATCGGTCGATGTTGGTCATTTTTTAGCATAATGATATTGGTCCAATAAGTAAAACTGGGCCAATATATTGATTTCTCACTTTTTAGTTTTGTTTTGGGAGGGGAGTTGGTTGGTCATGATGATGCTGCACAGCCAAGAATAACTGTGCGTATTTGTACATAAATAACTTGTGTTTGTGTAATAATGGCAAATATCGGTTATCGGCAGAGATGGCAATATCGGAATATCGTTATCGGCTAAAATTTTCACATCGGTGCATCCCTTGGGGTGAATTACAATCATCCTACCTACAATGTGTTAACATTTTTGAAACCTGGGAATGATTAAGACATTTTAAGGCCTTATTTTTTTATTGAATTAAACAACTTTTAAGCCTTTAAGGATCCGCAGGAACCCTGTGTATTTGTTGGTGGTAAACAAATGCATTTTTGGTTACAGTTTATCCCATGATTACTGATGTTTTTATTGTTGCCAGATCTTCATTGCAAACTGTCTGATTTACAAAGAAAGTTTGTCTTGATCTGTTAATCTATTCGTCGCAAAACTTGAGTGAAACTCCACCTGGTTTTATTTCAGTCACATATACCTGTTATTACTTATTTTACTTATGTTACTTTTTCCACACAGCAGCTAAGTAGTTTAAGAGACAAGTGGTTTGTTAAACTACTAAAAGAAACTTTATTTAGAGAAGTTCCTACATTAACCTGCTGAAAGTTCTTCACATTAGACATTTCTGTCCATCTTAAACTCAAACTTCAGATAGAGACAAATATCTGATGCAACATATTTACAGTGTATTTGTTTCAAAGGATAAACTGTAATACGACAGAGGTTTAATGGTTGCCATTTTAACAAAGTCAGAACTTGTTTTTCGGAACGTGAACTAAAAATAAGATGAAAAATTATTTATTTTAACTTCACACAGTGGTTTTACAAGACACCAGCTGTTCTGAGCTGAACAACATATTAAAATAAAACACTGTCAACTGAAGAGTAATCATCAAAACTAAAAAAAAAAACACTCAGCTTAGCATACAGTACATTTTAGAATTAAAAAAATGTAGTTTTGAAGAATCCAACATGTGACTTTAATTTAAAATCATTGTCATCCTCTGAAAAAAAGAAAATAAAAATTAAGATTTGAAGAGAAGGACATCGAGGAGGTTCTGAACAAAATAAATGAAGCAAACTCTCCTCTAATAAGAACAGAAACTTCAAAAAGTTTCTGACGAGATGATGCAGGAAGCAGACTGGTGCTGAGGTCCATGAACTGTCTAACAAACATCTGATATCAGAAGAGCTGAGAAAAGGGAAGATTCACAGAATGGTCTAGTTGAACAAAAAAGCCTAAACAAAATGATAAACACTTGGACAGAAGATCACTACATTACAAGATAAAAAAAAATGCATTTTGAAGGATTGTAACAAAAAAAGTACAAAAACAGTTAAGTCTGAGTTATCAACCACTTGAAACAATCTAAACATCACAGATCAAAAATGATCAGTAGCGCCGCCCGAAAGCTCCGCCCTGCATCCCGCTGCCCTGCATCATCTGGTTCTGTCTGTTCGGACCTCCAGAGAGAGACTGAGAGGTTCCTGTGTTCATGTAGCTTCCACGACTGCAGGACAGGAAACAAGCATCAGGTGGCAGCTCTTATAACATCACGTTAAGATAAAATTTAAAATATAAGACGTAATTTAAAACTCACCCTGCCATTCCTCCACGTGTCATGTGGCTCTGACCCGGGATACCGCTGTCTCTGCCTGTTCAAAACAAAATAACACAACTTACTATTTGCTGCCACTTAGTGGATTATACAGGGAGTGGGACTCTTTAAAGTGCTTCAAATTCAATTACAATTTATGTCTGTGTGGGATCATAAAAATTTATGAATACCTTTTAATTATTTGGAAACTTGAGTGACTATGACTTCTTTTACACAAACACAGATTTATTTACTTTATGCCTAATAAAGAGTTCACAATGTATCACAAAGAATTAATCACAGGCTGCTGACTAACAATTAGTGTAGATGCTAACTTTACATTAAAAATGTAATAGAAGGTTAATGTGATTAGCATTGTGTTTATAACTGCAAATTTAAACCAATTACTAAATACAAGACTATCAACTACTATTTACAGACGTACATTATCTGGGGTACAATGAATAAAAAGTTTTTAAAAATGTGAAAACACTACAGTAATCTATGGCAACTCTATTGCAACAAATGAAGCAACATTTCTCCATTAACTCTCTTTAACCAGCAGCTCAGTTTGGAATCCATCAAGCCCACATTGTGACACATTTAAAAACTAGATTTTATTCCCACCTCTTGTTTATATTAACTTCTGTTTCTCAATGAGGTACAATGCTCCAATTCAGGGTTTATTTTCTCTAACTTCTTTAATTAAATATGAACATCAGAGGTATAGCTACCTTGCCATGGTCTGTCTCCATCCATCTTCCGACCGGAGTCCCAGTCACGGCCACCCTCCCTTAAAAAATAAATATATTTTACTTACAGAAAAATCTGATTAAAGGTTTATACAGCTTAGCTTTGACTTGGGTGTGAACCTAACCTCGTGTTCATGCGCTTGTCGTAGCCTCCGCCCCAGGAGTCTCTGCCATGTCTGTCTGAAAAGTGCTGCAAGAAGAGACGAGGAACTATCATTACATTTAAAATCATTCATTTAGCAACACTGCAATCATTCCACCAACATGTGTTTGCTCTAAATCAAAGGTGTGTCCAATACTGGTCCTTGAGGTCCACAATCCAGCAGGTTTTAGAGGTTCCTCTATTTTAACACACCTGATGGGAATGAATGGGTGAAAGAGAGGCTTCTGCAAAACCTGAAGAAGTGATTTAATCCTTGATTCAGGTGTGCTAAAGCAGAGAAAGAAGTCAAACATGCAGAATAGTGGCTCAGACTAATGCTGCATTCACACCGAACGCGATTTCAGCTTCAAAATCGCAGCCAACGCTGAAGTTGGAAGCTTGTGCACTTTGAGGTCAGACGCAGGTCAGCTCTTGAAGCGCTTCATGGCAAGAGCCTCCCCGCCCCTCCCTCCTCTGTCGGGCTCTGTTTAATGTCGGACGAGGAAGTGGCTTTGCTTTATTTACAG